GTTCTTATCATCGTGTTCGGTTTCATTTATAATGATTCTATCTGGTAAAATATTTGTTTTTTTGTTTTTTTTCCCGATTATTTCTTTCATAATGTTCCATGTTTTTTTTATGTCTCCATTTGTTTTTTTAAGTAATTTAGAGTAGTAAATTTTTTAGAATGTTTTTTGATTTTTTCGAAAAGATTTTTGTATTGTTTATAAGTAGATAGGTTAATCTCATTTCTGTTTTTCAAATATTTAACGTATAGTTTTTGTTTTGTTTTTGAAGATTTTTTAATACCGCTGGTGATCCATGGACAGCTCAAATATTTTACTTTGATTTCTTTTTCTTTGATTGGAAAATGATTATTATAGTGCTTTAGAAAAATATCTGTAAAAGTATTATATGCAGAGTTTGTGTTCCCAAGGTTACATTCTTGATACACTTTAACCCAATCTACTGCCGATAGTGTGTCTTTAAAATTTTGAATTGAAAATTTATTTATTTTTCTTTTATAAGTTATTTTTTTAAAATTCTTATTTACTCTTGTATCATTTTTTATTGTAAAGTAAATTGGAAAATGATCTGCTATATTAATTTTTACTATTCCTGCTTTTAAGGAGGTATCTAGAAATGAGTTTGTTAGGATGTTATCTATGGCAGAAATAGAATTTAAGTTTACCCGTGTGGGTTTATTAATAATTGGTAAAATACAATGTTGAAACATGTTATCAAAAAATAATTTAATAATCGGAAACTCATTGTATTTTAAACAATCTATGTTGAGGTCCCCAATACAGAATAACTTTTTTTGTTCTTTATTGATTTTGAGAAAAATTTCTTCTAGATAATTAAAAAAAGTTTTAATATTACCTTCAGGTGGTTTATAACAGGTAGAAACAATAATATTTTTAAACTTGGAGTTTATGATTTCTATTGTAAAGACTTCACTATCGGCATTAGAAATGGAGTGGTCTTTTCTTACTTTTATTGCTTGATCATTCCGAACATAAGTTGCAATCCCTCCTCCTTTTTTGCATGATTTTCTTTCAGAAGATATTAATTTATAATTGGGAATTTGAAATTTAGTGTTATTTTGGATTGATTCGTCAGAACACCAAGTTTCTGTTAGACAAATCATACTGAATAAGTAATTACAATCAATTAGGAAGTGCTTAAGTTTGTCAAAATTTTTATTTAGGCTTCTTATATTTATGTGAATTACTGTAAAATTATTTTTAATTGTTTTAAGTTCAGTTTAAAAAGTTTCAGTTTTAACATATCGAGAATCAAAATTATTCATTTGAAAATATGCGTATCAGCGTCAACGAGTATATTATTAGCGGTTTCGAAAACATTAAAGCGCATTGATTCAAAATCTATTGTTTTGTTGTTGATTGTTTTAAAATTTAAAATTGAAAACTCGTTTATTTAGTTAAAAAAAAGTGTAGCGCTATTTTTTAAAATCTCGTGTAAATATTTTATCATATTTTAAAATGGCGTATTTACCTTTGCTTCTTAGTTTTTTGACTTCTTCCCATAACTTTCTTCGATGATATATTGTTTCTTGAGCGAAATCTTCATTTATGTATAGTCCAGTTCCTTTAAGTTGTTTTACTGCTTTGAGAATTTTGTTTTTGTCTTGGTAGTTCAAGAGTTTTAAGACTAATGTTCTTGGTTTGTTTTCTTTAAATTGTCCGAATCGATGAGTTCGTTCGACCACCACTACACTAGGTATTTTCAATAGTGTTTTGAAAATGTCTTTAACAGCTTTTTCGCAATCTTCCCAACTTTCGCCTGGTGTTTCTTGTAGCCCATCAATTCTTAAGTTGTTCCTTCTTGATCTATTTTCTAGATCTATAGATTTTTTATATAATGAATTGATTTCTTTGTCATAGTATTTCTTTATTTGTAATATTTTTTCCGAGATATCATTTTCTTGAAAATTTAGGCTGTCTTTAATGTCGCATAAGTCTTTTTCTATATTTGATATTTTACATTTGTTGTTATGAATGTCTTTCTCTAGCATGTCCAATCTATCTGTAATAATTTTGAGATTTGCACTGATAATTGAGGTAAATGATTTTTCCTGGTCTTTTAATAATCTTTGCGTTTCTTTTAGGATACTTTTTTTGTGCTCCTCAAGTTTACTTGAAATTATTTTTTCAATGTTTTTCATTGTGATGTCCATTATATATATATATATATATATATATATATATATATATATATATATATATATATATATATATATATATATATATATACAGGGCCGGCGCGAGTAGGTGTCACGTGGGGGAGGGGGGTGCCATTACAACTTTTGCCGACTAAAAAAAAAAAAAAGGTCCTCGTTTTCCAAAATTTGCCGACTATCATTACGACATTTGCCGACTGTCTAACCTATATCGAAAGGGTCGACATTTGCCGACTAACTAGTCTAAAAAGGTCCGATTTGCCGACTAAGGGTCCAGTTTGCCGACTAAAAATCATTGATGGGGGGGGGGGGAGGGGTGTCCCCACACACCCCTATCGCGCCGGCCTTGTATATATATATATATATATATATATATATATATATATATATATATATATATATATATATATATATATAAATGCTTAATCTACGCTACAAAAGCACGTCTGTTCACTTCACGCAAGTCACGCCAATCTCAAATATATAACCTTTTCTCGTTTTTTCTGTATATTTTTTTCTTGGTTTTGTGATGAATTTATTGGTCTAAAATAATTTCAAAAAAACTACGTTTTGACTACGTTTTGATATTCAGTGCTTTAGTACAGGGTTGCCAGACGTCCTGCTTTTTTCTTCCTCTGCTTCCTTTCAGTCCGTTTAATACTATTTCCAAAAATATTTTAGGAATTAGAATAACAAAAAAAAATTAATTACTCTATTATTAAATATATTAAATATATTTGAGTAAAATTGGCCTCAGTATAATGAATAATATAGAGTTGGTATTTATGCTTGAATGTTAAATGTTTGGAAACAATGTGCTCAAATTTTAGAAGTCAAATTCCAAATTTGTTTTCAGTAACTCAAAATAATTCAAGCTTGTACAACAAATTTAAAATTGAAGTAGATAAATTTAAATAGTTAAAATTTGTTCCTCTTGTGAAGAACAATTATAATTTAAAGTAATATTTATTTGATTAGATTTATTTACATGCTAAAGTGAGTCGTATTTTGATTATTTTTACTTTAAAAAAAATAGGTTTATCATCAAAGCAAGGCATTTTTAGATTTTTTATATTTTTGCAAATTCGCAATCCTCATTAAATTCTTAAAAATTGAACTGTCTTTATTTTAAAAACAGGCAAAACCCTAAACAACTACGGTCAAATTCCCGGTCTAAAAATAAAAGAAACAGCTTAGTTTTTCTAAAAACTAAGCTGTTTCTTTTATATTTATAATATAAAAAAACGTTAAAAAAAACGTTAAATTAAAAAAAAAAAATTGGTCCTCAAATTTTAATTTGGGCGGCGCCCAAATACGGTCGACGCTGTCGAAAACGCTCTAGAATAGCCCCTGTAAGTGGCCCACCTTAGTAAGACATTTTTTTTTGCAGATTTGAAGTTATAATCTTATATATCTTTCACCAAAATTAACCCCCCCTTGATTTTAAAATTTACAAAAAAAAAAAATTGATATACTTTATATGATTCATCCAACTACACCTTTTCAAGATGTTATTGAGAACTTGAAAGTTGTAATTAAGAAAAGTAAGCTGTAATTGAGAAGGTGAAAGTTGTAATTAAGAAACCTTACATGTAATTGAGAAGATGAATGTTGTAATTAAGAAAAGTAAGGTGTAATTAAAAAGATAAAAGTATTTAAGGGGTTGTCCATTAATTACGTCAACAAAATAGGGTGGAGGGATGGTCTAAACTTTTTTGACAACTGTTGACACGGAAAAGGGAGGGAGGGAGTTCAATTAAAATTGAAGTCAACAATTTTTTTTTGAGTTTCATTACTTAAATAACGGAAAATTAGGCTGAGTTTGTAGCATAGTTTCTTTGTATTGGAGTGGGGGGGAGGGGGTGTAATCAAAAGTTGACATAACTTTATAGAGAGTCTCTGAAAATTTGACAATTTGTTGATAAGAGGGAGGAGTGGAGGTAAACAATTCATAAAATTTGTTGACGTAACTAATGAACAGCCCCTAAGAAATGTCAGATGTAATTGAAAAAAAGTTGTAAATAAGAAATCGTAAAATGTAATTGAGAATATGACAGTTGTAATTAAGAAAAGTATAAAGAAATTACAATGTTTACAAAGAAAATACAAAGTTCTTTGTATTTTGAATTTTGTAGTCCTAATATACTTTGTGATTTAAGGCTGGAAATAATAATATCAATAGAATATAAAAATAATATCAATAGAATATAAAAAGTCATGAAAAAAACTGAAAAACTTACATGTTGTGTTTCTTAATTACAAATTTACGACTTCTAAATTACATGTTGTATTTCTCAGTTACAGCTTTTTTTTCTTAATTACAACTTTCAAGTTCTCAATTACATATTGAAAAGGTGTAGTAATCTTCAAAAATTAATTCCTGGAGTTATTAAATATAATGTTATTTCATAAATAAATAATTTTGGCCACTGATTAAGGTTTCTGTGGACCATATAACCTTTTTTTTTTTTGTGCTAGTTTATTTATATATAAAAGTATCTTTGAAAATACTAATAACAAGCATTTCTGATATTAATTTTAAACTATTATATTTGAACACCTTTATAAAACGGCACTTTTTTTACTTTTTTTTTTTTTTTTTTTTTTTTTTGTTACTGTTTATTGCAGGTTGTTCATTGCAGTTTATGATGCTCTCGTTAGATATTTGTCTTTTTTGAACGAAATTTCATGGGAAATAAAAAATCATCAGCATAAAATGCGTTTAACAGAAACAAAATTAAATTGAAAACAAAAAATGTGTTTAATAGTTGAGATAAAAAAGCCGCCGTAAAACTAAAAACCTTTAATTTTTTATTCAATTTTGTTTATTTTATATATAAAAACATCTTTGAAAATATTATTAACAAGCTTTTTATATATTAATTTTAAAATTTTTTATTAGAACACCTTTTTAAAATGGCATTTTTTATTTTATCCATAAAGCATTTAGCTAACTGGTGGAAGCCACACTTCCCGGTAATAAGCCAATTGTCAAAAATATCTGGAAAACCATTTACTTCAAGTACTACTACGCCTTCCGTCTTTGAATCTAAAATATCAACACCTCCGATTAGTATATCTCCTAGAGAACTTAACGCTTTTTCCGCAACTTCTGCATAAATGTTGTATTTTGGATGAGACATTAATGAATTGAGCCTAAATTTGTCTCCGTAACTTGCATTTGACAAAAGGCTCCCCGATAAATCTTGGTATTCTGCAATGCTAAAGGTTTTGCCATTAAAACATAATACTCTTACTGAACGACCTATTGAATCAGGCACGTATTTTTGTACTAGAATGTGTTCGTTTTTCCAAATACACTTTCCAACAAAGTTAATGATACCGTTTTTATGGTCGATCTTCGAAACCCCGGCACCACCGTAACCGTCATGCAACTTAACAATGCACGGTGCAATGTCGACCGATTCAACAAGTGTCTTAGTGCTTTGTATATCAAACGTTTGATATGTATCTGGTATTGGAATTTTTGCTTTGCCAAAATATATGGATTGAAGAAGCTTACTGTTGATTATGCAATCGATTTCATGCGAGTGAAGACACACTACCCCCTTTTGTTCCATCATTTGGACAACGTACATATAAATATCCATATTGTTTTTACTTCTGTACCCGTATGAAAGAAAACCATCGAGATCAATTACTTTGTTATCAATGTAAAGGTCTATTCCATTTTTGCTACCTTTAAAGTAGAAATTTTGATATGTAAATGGTATCACTTCCGCCCCTTCGTTACGCAAATAATTGCAAATCACATCATCTATTTCATTGTAAAATATTTTGTCTGGGTTAAGAAGATAAGCAATTTTGATTGGGCGTTTAATTGGCTCGTAATTGCAACTACCCCAATTAGAAGAATATTTTTCGCGTAAAAAGTGTCTGTATCGTATAGCTAAAACGCTAACGTCTTCCGCTGTTGTACACCCGGATAAAAATTGCTCAAGAACACAAACTTCGTCTTTATCAATTTTAGTTTTTATCAATTCTAATTCAGTTTTAAGACAATCACTCAACTCCATTTTATCTTCGTTAGTTTAACCTGAAGAGAGTAAAATAATAACAATAATAATGAAAACAATATATAAGTAACCAGAAAAAATAATATCAGAGCTTTTAAATTTAATGTAATAGAGGAATTTAAAAACTTGACATTTACTCGATAAAGTAAACCAAGGGCTTAAAAATAGATGGACGTTTAACGCATTGTTATAGATCATAAAGCGCCGCCAATTACTGAAATTCTATGCGGGTCGTAATTTTTAGTGTCTATTTTTTTAATAATTTTACAAAATAAACCGATATTCAACCGACATTTTGCTTTATTAACTTCTTTAGTAAATGTTTTATTACTCGTAAAAACTTTTGGGAAATATAAATGCATTTTATGTAATTAAAAATGTCTCATATATTTGAAAATATTTAAATTAATATTCAAGCTTCGTTTAATAATAACTTATTTGTAAAAAAAACTTTGACTTCAAAAACAATACTTTTGTAAAAATGTAATTTATGATAAACTAATATGAATATTGTAAAGTAAAAAGAATTCTCTACGTGTTGTAGGTAGGTATCATAGATCATTTACAGATTGAACTAGAGATTGTTGGCAATCATTATGCTTACACTTTGACTTTATTAATTTCTTAAAGATTTAAACTTCTCATTTTTTACGGAAATCGAATCTTTTTTTGTCTCACAACTTCGTTTTGATATTTTCGGTATTTATTTTACAAATAGAGTTCTAGAATAATTATATAACTTTTATAAATTATTTTATTATTATTATTATATAACTCTATGTTATGTAATAATAATAATAAAATAATTTATAAAAATTATGTAACTAATACTTTACTTAACTAAGTTTATTTATTTAATTAGATAGATGAGACAGTTGTAATTTTAAAGTATATTTGTATAAAAGTATTTACACTTGACGCAAATGTTTTCTATTGTTTTGCTATTGTTATTTATAACAATTGACAGCGCGGATATCTTGGCTTTTAAACAATGAGTTAAACGTCTATTGTACGTCCTTAAGAAAACCATGCTAAAATTTGTTTTTTAGTTAAAATACGGGTTTATCGTAAAATTGCTATGGTCGACCCTTGAAGTATAAAACAGATGGAAGTTCAACCGCATTTAAATTCTTCGGCTATGCTTGTAACTTTTTATATCGTAAACAAAAAGAAAACGACATCAAAACTATACTTAAACGCTTAATCTTTATACGTTGACGTAAATAAGTACATTCATAGGTACGTTTGTAATAATTTAAAAATATAGTATTTCGACGGTTCGGCGATTATATTCATGCATAAACATTAAAAATGGCGACAACGAAACGTCAAATAAAAACTTTTTTTTAAACTTCATTTTAAATCAATGGAGTATTACAATACTTCATTGATTTAAAATGAATGGAACTATGATATACAGCTAAGGAAACTCTAAGCTTTAGTAATTTAGAAAACATTTTTTGGGGTTTTTTAAAATTTTTAGTTGTCTTTTATAATCAAATGTCAAGTTACGATTCGAGGCAGAAAAGAAGCTTAACCTAACATGTGCTTTTAAAATAAAGTGATTCTATTTAGTTACCGAGTTTCAGAAAACATTTTGTTGAATAATTACAATAACTAATGGGTAAAACTATCTTGAATAATTCTTTTTTAAATATTTTGTTTAAAATCAATGAGTTTTTGTGAACCTCTTTTTTTATTATTTTTTAAATGAACTTTCATCTGTTTTATACTTTTATAGAACGACTAAATCCTCTGAGGAAATTAAAATTAAGATGTCGATTAAAAGGTGAAACTAAGTAAGTCTTGCGAAGCGGGGTTTTTTTTTTTTTTTTTTAATTTTTTTTTAATTTGTATTTTTTACTACAGTTGAAAAAAGTCTATATTTTAAAGACACAAAATCATCTTTTTAAATTTGAGTTTTATATAAGCTAAAAACAAATAATAATTAAAAAAAAAATAATAACCTAAATAAAATAATAATTGATTGTTTTTAATTTAAGACGAAGTCGTTCATAAATCCCTCAACGCAACTTTTTGCAGAATGAAAAATCATAACCAAAAAGGCTATCCAAATACCAACCAAAAGATAGCCTTTTGGTTTTAAAACCAAAAGATAGTCTTTTGATTATGGTTTTTTGTTATGAAAAAGTTGAATTACGTAATTTATGAACGATGTCATTACATACTGCTAAAATCTATTATATATAGTAAAAAAAATTTTTTTGAACTATTTCGAACCAATGATTTCTTAATCAGAAAACTAATACCAAATTAAATAGATAAAATTGTAAATCTTTACAAAAAATACCTTTTTCTTTAATAAATATATCTTTAAATACCTTTGAATAATTTTCTCAACTGTTATATTCGGCAATAGATTTGAAAAATATATTGATACTCAAAAAAAAAAAAAATTCAATAAACAAAGCAAATACACAAAACAAAAACATTTTTAAGTTGCTCTCACCCACTATTGTAAAACAGAACAAAATAAGGTGAGTCAAATTTTTTTTTCATACCGTGAACATTTTTATTTATTGTATTACAATTGTAATTTATTTTATCTGCTATTTATCGAGTTCTAATTATGCCTCGATTAACTTAATTTGTCGTTCTGATTTTGTCTTAACTTATTTGTTGTTTGCCTTTTATGAACATATTTTACTTATAAATAGTAATAACAAAAAAATATATAATAGACAAAAATAATTTAAAATTTCCTTCAGTGTAAAAGTAGCACTAATGTGTGCGGAATTGTGTTGTGGCAATAATTAATATTATAAATGAAACAATTGTATTATAATTTACTTGATTTCCTTTTTTTTTTATTTAAGCTTTTTGTTTGATTGTTAAATTTTAAATAGCAATATTACCTAAAGGCGATAATGTAAACGGGGTCGGCGATAATGTAAACGGGGTCGGCGATAAGACAGTATATATGTCCTTATTGCTATATAAGTATATAAGTTCTTATTGCTCTGGCTATTTATTTTACATTTACCATCTCATTGTAATTATTATTATATGGCAAAAAAAAAAAAAGTTTTATATGTTGATACAACCTTGTACAGAATGAAAAATCATAACCAAAAACGCTATCCAAGCGCAAACCAAAAGATAGCTCAATGCAAGTAAGGCATGGTACACGTTTTTCCGAACAAAAATATAAGTTTTTTCAATTACTAAATATATAAATTTTCTCATCAAAAAGTATGACATATTTGGTATGTATGGAAAGATCATTTTAACCACTATTATAATATGGTAAAAGTAATGCGATTATAACAAATCGTCAAGCGTAGTTTTATTTAGAAAAGATGCAATTTTCAACATAAAGTACCTTGGGGCTTGGCTATAGATAAATCTATGAATTTGATTTCTTCTCAAAAGCACGTATTGGTGTTTGTTTTCAATGATTTGAAACTTGACGTTTCTAATCAGACATTATTTGGGAAAACTATCCATGAAAAACCATTTTTTTAATGAAAATTGAGTTTATTGTTTTCCATACCACACCTAAATGAGTATGTTTAACAATAATGTCACGTTAGATTCAGATAACCTATGGTAGTGTTAATTTTTTTACAAAAGTCATTTTTGTATAATTAGTCATAACTTTTAGCCTCATTTAAAAACTGTTTTCGGTATTTAGTATCTTTTTTTAAAACACTCGGAACTTATTCGGCCATTTTGAAATAATAAATTATTCCATTCAGAATGTGTAAACAATTAAAAAACAGAGGCGGTAAACTTTATAAACAAATTACTTTTTCAAACTCGTTTCGTTTTTTTATCAGTGGTGAACTTTGGTTTCTTTTATTTTTACAATAATAATTTATAAGTAACTTTTAACTTATTGTTGTAAAAACAGTTATATCTTTGAATACTAAGTTGATACAATTAGCTATTATGGCTTCAGTTATGTATTAAGATAAATACTTTATGTTGTTAGCACCGTGCAAAATGAAATGTATATTACATAATTCATTCCAACTGCTTTTAAAATGGCATATTTTTTAGAAATGTAATTAGGTTTATAATTTATGTCAAACAAACATTTCAAGATATCTATGTAATTATATTGATACACTTCCTGCAAAACTGTTATTACAGACGCTTTGGTTGTTTATAATATTTTGCCATTACTTACGAATTCTTTGTTTGCATAAGTTAATAATAATAATATAAAAAGTAATACAATAAACAAAAAGTTTTTCGGTTTGCAACTAACAACCAATCGAATTATCGACTTTTTGTAACGAGTTTATTTGTTCTAGTTGCCTTAGCTGCATTGAGAGGTTGCAGGGGAGGATCCAGGATTTTTCGATATTTATATAACTTCCAGGTAAGTTATAAACTACAAATTTTTGTATTTTCATAATTTAGTCATTTAAGGATGGTTTGCCAAAAATAATTTTTCTTTCCATGAACATTTTTATTTATTATTTTATAGTTGCTATTTATTTTATCTCGATTTCTCATTTCGTCTCGATTAACTTAATTTGTCGTTCAGATTTTGTCTTGATTAATTAATTGACCGTTTGCTTTTTATGAACAAATTTTTTTTTTTTTTTTTTAGTTTTATTTAGGTGCCCCAAGAAGTCCTTACGGTCTTATGACAGAGCACCGTGGATGAGCATTTAATAAGAAGTTCAAGCTTCCTTTCTAACCGATGTCGCAAAACTTGCCCAGAAGTGAGTTTGAACCACGAATCCTTTGCTTCTGAGGCAAGTGCGCTACCACTGCACCACGGCTGCTCAAATGTTTTAAATACTATTCGATTTATGTTATCGTATTTATAATATTTAAGCAATGTGCAACAATAAAAAAATAATAATAAAAAAATAATAATAATAACAAAAAATAAAATAAAATTTCCTTTAGTGTAAAAGTAGCCCTAGTATTTCATACATAGGACGAACTGGATCAAGTGTGACCCCGTACAAAGTTTTTAGCAATGTGCAGGGTTTTTTTTAAGTACATATTCACGGTTTTTTTTTTGTTTTTTTTTTCTTTTTGTAATATTCTTTTAGTTTAAAAATTGGTTATTTCAAACATTTAAAAACCTTCCTACGCCACTGGTGCCCCCAAAAGTCGGTCTTATCACGGAGCACCGCGGAAGAGCATTTAATACAAAGTTCACGCCTCCTTCCCAATCGATTTTGCAAAACTTGCCCAAAGGTGGGGTTTGAACCACGGATCATACGTTTTTGAGGCAAGTGCGCTTGATATATATATATATATATATATATATATATATATATATATATATATATATATATATATATATATATATATATATATATATATATATATATATATATATATATATATATATATATATATATATATATATATCATGCTCATAGAAACTTTAAAACTATAATAGTGACATACCCAGGTCAATTTTGACACCGATATACTAGTTTGGGCGCCAAATTAAATCGGTTAATCTCGAATTATTGCAGTTTAAAATTAAATATTACTTGTTTATAAACTCTTTTCTGTATGCAGTAGAAATAAAGTATGAAAACAAATAGATTATATGTTATAATAACTAATTTGTTATTTTATTTTATATCATTTTACTAATTATTATTTTATAATAATATTAAACCTAAATGTATATTTTTGCATTTGATAATTTCATAAAAAATCTGTTTATAAAAATTTTTATAATTTTTATAAAATCACGAATATCTTTTATATTCATTGAATTTCCGGCGCGGATAAAATGCAGAATGCGGAAATCGAGCATGTATTAGATGAATGCTAAACTATCCAGAAAAAAAAATACAAACAGAAAATTTTGAAGCACTTTTTTAATGAAGCATATTTCAGAGATGCTAATATGTATAATGCATTTCCAAATTTTTGTGCCATAAAAAATAGACAATTTAATCTATTTGTTTTAGAAAATGAATAGCCAACAACATTTTAATCGCCTATAATTAATAGCCTATGAATATTAATAGTGCGCATAGTTACGCGTATTGTTTTATAGTTACGGTACGGTTCTGTATCTGTAAAATACACTTTTTAAGTAGTTTCTAGACTTTTCTTTACCGCGTGCTTACTTACAGATTTCCCTTCAACCTTTCATGGTACGAGTTCAAAATATCTAAGTTGACATTAAGTAGATAATGTTTAGTAGCTTAAAATTATAGGTAATCTAAATTTTTTTTTAAATTTAAAAGTAATTAATTTATTGTAATCATTTTTAAATTTTAAATTTAAAGCTTCGTGTTATAGATTACTTTAATTCTTAATTTGTGTCTAGCGTTAAAATATATTTATGGGTAGTTTCATGCTTTCACTTAGTTTTGGTTATTGGGATAAAAGCCATGACAACATTTTGTTATAAATTTATCTTAATTTAATTTTTATTGAAAATTTTGTTATAAATAAAATTTGTCTTTAATATTGTTAATACTTTAGCTCTTTGAAAAAAAATATGTTTCTGGCTCTTCAATAAATATAAAATTATTTGTCTTGCATGAATGAATTTTGGTTTAGGATTTAATTGTGTTAGTTTATGTTTGTCTATCTGTAATTTATTTAGGTTATTAGAAAATTCATGTTTACAGAGTTGTTATAAATCATAATCGAATTGTTAAACCAAGGAAATTGTGGAGGTTTATTTATCATATATACTATATATATTATATAATTATATTGGAGGGAGTAAGTTTAGAAGTCTTTGAGGTAGAATTAAAGTTTCAGTTTTTTAAAACTTTAAATTAACTTTACAATGTTAAAATGGTTTAAACGGATTTTTGTAAATGAATTTAATCCTCAAAGATTAAATTTTTTTTATTATTGAAGAAATTAAACTAGATTTAAGAATAAGTCGACTTAAATGTTTGTTTGTTTTTCTAAATAGATGATGACAATATTGAAGCAAGTAAGTTTAAAAGCATTTTTAAATTTTTAAAAAGAAATAAAAATACTTTTCAATATATCTCTGTTTTCTTTGAGGTAGATTTAAAGTTTCAGTTTTTTAAAATCATATATATTTTAAAATCCTATATATAACTCATATATCTTTGTTTTTCTATTTAGACGTTGGTAATAATATGAAACAAGTAAGTTATAAAGCAATTTAAAATTTTTAAAAAGAAATAAAAATACTTTTTATTATATATCTGTTTTCTTCGAGGTAGATTTAAAATTTCAGGTTTTTTAAATCATATATATTATAAGATTTACAAATAAGTCGACTTGAATGTTTGTTTGTTTTTCTATTTAGACGTTGGTGATAATATCGAAACAAGTAAGTTATAAAGCATTTTTAAATTTTTAAAAAGAAATAAAAATACTTTTCAATATATATCTGTTTTCTTCGAGGTAGATTTAAAATTTCAGGTTTTTAAATCATATATATTATAATATTAAATTCTTTTTTACTTTAAAAATATCTATATTATAGTTACACTGAGTCGTAGAAAAAAAATTAAAGTTTATTAATAAGGTAGTAGAATATTAGAGTAGATTAAATTGTTTGATCTATTAATCAACTTAATAACGTACTATTAATATGAAGATTTATTTTGGTTGTTTGTTTGTTAAAATTTAGTTAGAGTTTATTTAAAATTTAAATTCTTTAGTTAATCAAGAGAGATCTAATAAAGGTATTAATTACATTAGTTGAATGTGGTATTTTATCGATATAAGGAATAAAATAATAAGGAATAGAAAAATTTTAAAAATTTGCTCTGGAATTTGTCAAAAGAGTGTTGTGTTATGCTTCATTTTAAGGTATCTAAATATATATTCATTAGAAATTTTTAATTTTGTTTTTAAATGGTTTATTCTTTTTCACTACTTTAGATAAATATATACTGACTGACATAACTTCATTTTTATTAACAATGTCGTGCATTGTAGTCTGCATTCTTTGTTACATTAAAAATAATTGATGCTAATAAATGTTCTTTTATAGTTGTTAAAAGTTTGCATATATGTTTGCATTTATATTATAATCAAAGTTAAAGTTTTTTTGATAAATACGTGTGTGTGGTGATACTACTCAGGTATCACCGCAGCTTATCTCTATCAGGTACATTGATTTTTAATTCACATATGATGTTTTTCTTTGTATTTACTTATTCATTACATTTTTAACTTCAGATTTATGGTGCATTTATTTGCTATAGAAGAACAAATCATTTTGAATTTTTTAAAAATATCTACACCAATCAACATTTAAAATTCAATGTAGCATATACCAGCTTCTAGGCTTTTTTGATGCTTTTCTTATTCAAGTGGTTTCATAAGCAAGGTCTACAAACAAATTTGAGATAAAAAGTTTTTCAGCTTTCAAGGAGTATCAATGTTGTTCTCTGTATACTTTAATTTGTTTAAATAGAGTAGTTTTAGTAAATAAATGTTTGTTTGTTCTTGGTTTTTTACTTATTTGTTATCAGATTCTTAAGAATTAGGCAACTTAGCAAGCAAGATTTATTTTATTTTTTAGTGCAATTGGAAAGAGCTAAAGTGCTTTTTAGTTACTTCAAATCATTTGTTTTTATTTTTTAAATAGAAGGGTTAATAATAAAAATATTTAGACAGTCGAACTGTTACTGATTTGAGTAAGTTTAATTTTTTGTTTAATTTTATATTAGATATATATTTTATGTATTTAACATGAAAAACTGACTGTAATTTTTGACAGGTAAGTTTATATACTTAAATGTGCCTATATATCGGAATATTTTATATTTCTCTATGAATCTATATGAATATTATCTCAAAGAAAAAATTTGAATATATATACATACATATATATTACTTTAGACTGACATTGCTTCATTTTTTATACAAGATTCTGCATTTATTATTTTTGTGCATTAAGATTGTGCCTGAAGGCTTTCTTAATTTAGCAAAGAATTTAGAACACAATGCAAATAACTTTGCACTGTGTTCTAAATTCTTTGCTAAATTAAAATAATGTAAATAAATTTTGTTTTATATTTTTCAGTTGTAAAAATATAAAACGTTCATTTATTCAGTTGTAACAGTAGCATAACCACTGGTAATATATATTTAATGATAACAGATTTATAATATTAGGCTCGAAGAAGTTATTAGTGTAAATGGTTATAGGTGACTTGAAATTGTTATCATATGAAAGAAATAGATCTAGGCATGATAAAATTAATTGTCGTTGAAATATAAGAAATTTTGCTTGATGAACCAAAAACTTACTTGGCAAAATTCAGTGTCAAGCGCTGTTGATGTCTATTATTTGACTTTACATTAGACACTTTGAAATAAAGCAAAGTATGAATTTTACTATTTATAGTAACAAATAATAAAAATTTCAGTTTTAAATGTTTTTTTTTTTTTTTTTTTTTTTTTACATTTGTAATCTTAATATAATTGTTCATTTTTTTTTTAGTTGTCTTTGTCATCACTTGATTATTTTGCTTACTGTTGAAACACGGTTTTAATTTTGTAAATTTAATATGATGTGAAATTTACAATATTAATCATTTGTCAACAGTTAGAGAGAAGCTGGAAATAAATTAAGAAATGCTGGAAATTAACTTTTAGATAAGGTAAAAATAATTTTGTTTATTGGTAGCATAATAAAACCAGTTACTGTTATTTATTGCATGACTTTTTTACTTTTTCTAACATGGTGTTTTTAAAACACTTCCTCTCTCTCTTAGATGAGACTTAAATAAGAATTAGTATTGAGAATTGTAGAGAGAGAATTGATTGGGGGGTCGTATGGGTTGAATGGGCGGTCGTAACTAAAAACCTTTAAAAATATGGAGAATATTGTAGTTTTGCGCATTAATATCGAGTTACTTAAGTTTTATTTATGTGTTTAACTAATTAGTTAGCTTAGTCTGTATTTGCAACACTTTTGAGGAAAGAAAGAAAACATTTTTATATAAGTAGATCATTGTTTTACATTTTAATATTTTATTTTATTCACCAGGCCACCATTAAAGCAAAAAGAGGGAAGGAACCTCTTTATTAGAGCCAAAATATTTAGAAAAATTAAATTTCGAGTTACAAAAGGAATTTTTAGTAAATGGTGGCAAATTACCGTTTACTAAAAATTTAATGAAATAAAGAGGCCAAATAAATAATATACAAATGGTCTGTGTTGAACAGACTTAACAAGGCCCGGGTCGGGTCAGCTTGGTTTACAAATTTTTATGTCTACTTATCTCTTATAATTTTTATTTTAGTTTGTTCTATGATGCATTTATGTATTAAAAAATTTGTTATACCTATGTTTGATCGTAAATTAAATTTTCTTTTGTTTGAAAGGTATTTGTACTCAGTTGCGTAGTATAATAAACTTTGTTATGTTTTATAAATTTATTTAAACGTGTGCATTTAACATTTTTAAGTTAACAATTTTCTTTTCTAAAGAACAACTAATCAAGGGGATAACAAAAAATTGATAACTCCTGTATAATATAAGTTAACTTCATTTTAATCTTAATGGTTCGTGTTATAAAAATTATTTTAAGGATTTAGTTGACACTTTCGTCAATTTAAAGTATAACCAAGTGTTATTATTTTGCGTCAGTAACTAAAAACGTATTGTGTTAAACTTAGGAAGGTCGATGAAAATGGTTCTGCTCTACACTGTTATGACCTGTGCCATTTGTAAATTACTTAATAATGTTAAGTAGTAGTTGGTAAATTATTTTACCTCCTCATAATTTTTATGTTAATTTTACAGATGGATTAATTTTTTCAAGCTGAAGGCAATTTTCTGAAAGGGTATTAGTTAAGGTTTTGCAAGATTAAATTGTGGAAAACAGCTACTATAAATTAATTATGTAACAGACCGACCAAAACCCGTATTACGGGTTGCCTTTTGCTAGTGTAATATTATTTTATGAGTAATAAAAATATTCTAACCCATATGATATTCCAACAATAAATAAGTGAAACGTTATATTAGCCAGAGTTTATTACATTTAGATAAAAATGTTAAAATAAATCAAATGCTATTGGAAAGCTTTTCAAAACCAGTGTTACTACATTAAATTCGTTTAAAGATATACTTGAAAATCCAAAATCTTAACCTCCAAAATAAAACTTTGTTTACAAATCTAAAATTATTTTTCTCCATATAAAAAATACTTAAAATGTAAAAAGAAAAATATTAAAAAGAAATAAAAGCTCTTCAACGTTTATAATATATTTTAGAATAAATTAATCATATTTAGATTGTCACTTTTTTCTTCTTTATTGGAACAAATGTTAAAAAAAGAACAAGGAATGGTTTTGTCCAATATGTCACGGGAAAATGGTACAGTACCCAATACCCAATAGTACTGTTTGACGTACACGGCATTTTAAATGATATTTGCTTACTATGCAACTAGAATTTATTTTATTTAAAAGCTTTTACAAACATAAATCTTTGTATTTTAATTTTAATTGATACTTACTGTTTTGTTTTTAGTTTTTAATGATATTTGTTTTTTATGCAAACAGATTTGATATTTTATTCAAAAAGTTTGAGTTGTGACATGTCATAACTCGATATTCATCATAACATAATTTGCCGCTTTAATGCTTAATCTTAAAAATTATGTCTCGAAGATATAATCTATAAGATATAATAACTTTAATACTTGGTCTAATAGATTACATCTCAAAGATATAATCTATAAGATATAATGATTTTAATACTCAAAGACATCTTTGTGATACTTAATCTACTACACGGCGATCTATGGTTGAAGTGAAACTATAATTTCCGATTTTCAAAATATTTTAAAATAAGTTCCGCAAATTACAAACGTTCTTATTAGACAACTAACAACTTAAATTTGTTTAGGGGTTGTCCATAAATTACATCACACAAATTTCGAATGTTTTTTAACATCCCCCCTCTCGTCATAAAAATTGTAACACTTAAATAACAAGTTTTTAACACTTAAGTAGCAAGTTATCAAATAAAACCAAAGATATTTTTCTATAACAAACAACATTAATGATATTAATGTTTGTCAAGTTTTTGTTGATTAATTCTGGAACAAGAGTGGCCATCAGTCCTTTAATGGAATTATCAACGCAGTGTCATGATATAATGGAAAATTTATTTAAGTTATTTTCCATTCTCTCATTCTATCATGGAAAATAACTAAGTTATTTAACATTCTATCATAACACTGCGTTTTTATTGGAGTAATTTTTTTTTAATAATTATTGGAGCAAAAAATCGAAGTATAAAACAGGTGGAAGTTCAACTGCATTGAAATTTTTTGGGACTATGCTTGTAACCTTCTGTTTTGTAAACAATAAGAAAACGACATCAAGACTGTACTTAAACGCTTAATCTTTACACGTTGACGCAAATAGAAACGTTTATAATAATTGAAAATATAGTATTTTGAAGGTTCACCAATAATATTTAAGAGAAACATTAAAAAAAGACGACAAAGAAAGTTAAAGAAGAGTTCATGTTAAGTGATCTCCAATCAAAACTTTGTCGGCGTACATTAGTTAGGTGACCTAAGTAACAATATGTATTGCACCCTTTCTATGCTATCTTTCTAACTCGATTACTTCTATTTCTCACTCTTACATATCTTTGTTCTCGCCAAACTCACCTTACTCTCGGTCCGCAGAGCGGGTATGACGCTCCTTCGGGAGCTCTGCTGACCCTGGTAAAGTAGCCTCTATATGGCAATTAGCCGGAGGAGGTTAAACCACAATACCTGAGAAACATTAAAAAAGGCGCAACGAAACGGCAAACAACAACTTTAAATGAATGGAGTACTACAAGAATGAATGGAATTATGATATACAGCTAATGAAAGTTTAAACTTTAGTTATTTAGAAAACAATTTTTTTGATATTTTAAAAATTGATTTAGTTGTCTTTTAAATCAAATGTCGTGTTAAAAGAAGCTTAAACTAAGGTTTAAATTATTAAATTTATTGTCGGTTACAAGCATACTCCCGAGACGACTTGAAATTGCTTTGATGTTTGCGGCTCAATGATCATTGAGCCGCAAACATCAAAGCAATTTCAAGTCGTCTTGGGAGTATGCTTGTAAACCAGTTATATTTTGAGATCAGTGGTATAAACAGTTCATATGAACTTCCCTCTGTTTATACCACGTTTATAAACAGTTCATATGAATTTCCTTCTGTTTATACCACTGATCTCAAAATATAACTGGTAGCGTATACGACAAATTATTTGAAGCCAGTTTTGGCCTTCCAAGATGGCGGCGTATTTAGTTGATCACAAATTGAGAAAATTTGGTTACGAACTTTTATATCTTTTTTAAATTAAAATAAATGTACAAGCCTTAAATACAAATATAATTTTTGGTTTTACATAGCAAATATTTTGAAAAGAAACGCAATATTACATATTTACGTAAGTTTCTAAAATATATATAATATTTTGTTTAACATTGTTAAACAAAATATTATATATATTTTAGAAATTTACTAATTATTAGGAGTAAATTTTGTTAATAACAAAATTTACTCTTAATAATTAGTTTGTATAATAATTTTCTTTTTTATATAAAAATTAATTAAATAAGGAAAATTAAATAAGATAAAATTTTTTAGTTAACTAATTAAAAACTAATTTATTTAACATAAGTAAAGAACGTACTAGAAACTAGTATTATATCTAGAACCTAATAGTTAACTATTAGGTTCTACTAATATGTATAACTAGTTATAACCTATTAGTAGAAGTAAAAAACAAATAAAAACCCAGTAGTTATCTAATTCAAAAGTTTCCAAACAACTTTAAATGCAAAAAATCTAAATATTTTTATTTTTTATTTATATTTCATTTATTTACTTTCTTTTAATTTTAGTTTTACCATAAATTAATTGTTTAATATTGTTTTTATACAATTTATGTACCTTTTAGTTCTTAACTACCCAATGCTGTGTGCTAGAAGGTTAACACAACTGCATGGTAGGCAGCTAAATATCTTTGTAAAATAATTTATTATAAATTAGTTTTTCTAATAGATATCACAAATTTACAAATGCTGCCTTTTTTTTAATGTATAATTATTTGTAACTTGTTTTTTATTTGGTTGTACTTTTTCTAAAATCACTAAACATGCGTGTATATATATATATATATATATATATATATATATATATATATATATATATATATATATATATATATATATATATATATATATATATATATATATATATATATATATATATATATATATATATATATATTTAATACAGATAACTTTATTTTAATGTCATTTTAGCAACGTATCAGATAATATGAGACCAATACTTTTTTAAATGCTGCAATTTAAAATATTTGCATAATCGTGGTCACTATAACTTGGTTTTCTCTCCAATAAATCATGTTTTGTAATTAATTCAATTTCAGTCAGATATTTTAGTACTGGAGTGAGCAAAAGAAAAAAGAATCTAAAGCTTTTAAAATATGAGTTTGATCTCTGATGCTGCAGTTTCCATTTGAACATTGAATGCTACTTCGCATCAAAAGTTGTTTATATGTGGCTGTGAGTTGTTGGCATTTGATATTGTTATTAAACGTTCTTGCAGATCTCACAGCTAAATAGGATCTCACAGCACAATAAAGAGCTTGTTAGATGGTTTTGACTGAGCTTATATGTTAAATGATTTTATGGTAAACTTTCTTTTTCTTCTCAGTTGAGATATATATTTTAAACAGATTTAACTGCTACCAAATGTCTAATGAAATCAGTTTTTAGAGTATACAAGATCATTTGCTTACCAATTAATCTCTTTAAGACTAACGATACAATTATATGCCATGTCAAGAGATGGAAAACAAAGAGTCTTGTTGCATGCACACAATGCTGACTTGTATCCATTGGCAAATAGGTTTCTTGAATTTAATATGTCATGAAATCAATCTTTTATGCGAATAAACTCATCGGCATACATATAAAATTATTTAACTGCAACATACAGTTTAATAATATAAAAAAGTCAGCTAACTATAACATATATTCATAATTCTTAACAGCAGGCAAACATATATAACTTTAGTTAAAGAGATATTTTAAAGAGGTGTTTTGAATATTTGTATATTAAAAATTTAATAAATACATTTTTTTCAAACAAATCTATTTTAACATTTTCATCAGCGATTGTATTGAATGATTATATGTATTAATGATTATTGAAAGTTATTAAAAATGATTATTTACTTTTAATTTGTTTTAAATGTTATTATAAATAACTATAAATCAGACCTGTTTTTTTTTTTTACCAATATAAGTGACACTTCAGAATATTTTAATCATATAATTTATGCAATAATAGCATTTAATTATAATATAAGTTTAAAAAAAGCCCCTGAGTTTTTGTGTACTTACAGCATTCAGTTAATAGTTCATGCAGCATTTGTACAAATTGGTATCTTGCTTAAAAAAACATAAAGTATAAAATTATAGGTAGACATGATTGCTTCTGTTTACCATGCTGTTATAAATGGTCTAGCATACAGCATTGGGTTAACTAAAAGGCACATAAATTATACATAATACTAAAATTGTAAATTTCACTAATGCCATTTAACAATAAATTCAATTATTAAAATAAGTAGTTTTTTTTTTCTATAATAATTATAAAATTAATTTTTTTTTTTTTTTTTTTACAAATGTGTTTTATTTCATTATTTTCTTTTGAGTAAAATAGAATGTAAATCGGTTTCACCGCTAAGAACTAAAATCGCCGCCATCTTGGGAGGCCAATTTTGGCTTCAACTTTTTTCGGAAAAAACAATAGAATCCGCTATCCAGTTATATTTTAAGATCAGTGGTTTATACTTCCATGCTCACGCCAAAGTATAACACAGAACAGAAATAAAATAGAAAAAAGTTATTAAAAAAAAAAATGTGTGTTTAGAACTTAAATCGAATTAAACTACATAAATAAATACTTAGAAATATAATCGTATCATTTTGATTTTATCTAAAGTTAAAAATTTAAATTATGCAATTTAAGCTAGAAATTGACATTTATGTTCTGACGTAGAATAAAAAATAAAAACATGAAACTAAAATATCCCGAACAATTTAATTTTTTTATTTTTATTTAACATTATAATGTTAAATAAAAATAAATAACAAGAAAATTTTTTATTTTTATTTAAGGTGGTAGGCCTATGAAAAATAGAGATTTTTGATCAAAAATTGAAAAAAAAAGAAATATATTGTATTTATGTAAAAATTTATCTTCTATCTGCTGATATATGACTTGTTTAGGTTTGATTAAATTAAAAGTGTTTTAAATAACATATTTTGTTAGCTAGTTTTTTTGTTTACCTTAGCAACGTCATAGCAACGAAAAATTAAGACCTTATTTTACCCAAATTAGGTGGTCAAAATGACAAATCTTGTGAAGCTTCTTTTTCCAATATAATATAGATCTGCGGTGTTTTTGGTCATGCTTTAAAGTTACATTTTCTTATAATAATTGCCATATTCAACTGTTTATATTAGCTGTGGTATAAAATCATTATTTATGAATTTTTCAACTCTTAATTTAAATCAATCAATTTGTACTTGTGTATAATCGTAATAAATGTCTTCTGGCAAAAGCAGCAAGCAAAATTTTTCACGAAAAAGAAAGAAGAAGCCTCCTGTAAATAAATACTCAAAAAAATGTCTTTCAAATATTTCATCAGAAAAAGTTACATCTAGCATAAGTAAAAAGAGGCTAATTATGAATCAAACTAATCTCAATACAATCATTGAAGTAATAAAACAAGAAGATGATTACTTTTTATTCGTAAATTTCTCTGTACTCAAAAGTGTATTTCAACCTTTGTTAGTATGTCCTGAATGTGGCCATAAAAAAATAACTCTCAGTGATAACAGAAAGAAGAGAAAGGGATTTGCCCATAATTTAGAACTTTTATGTGAGTCATGCGAATGGTATAAATCTGTTTATACATCAAAAGAATGTAATACACAAAACCATGGTCAAGGTCCTAAAATCTTTGAAGCAAATGCAAGGGCAGTAATTGGTTTTCGTGAAATCGGTAAAGGTTTTACTGCAATGGAAACATTTTCTCAATGCATGAACATGTGTTCTTTATCTAAAACACCATTCTCTAACCTTAATGACAATGAAATTTATACAGCATATGAGAAAGCTGCTTTTAATAGTATGAAAAAAGCAGCTGAAGAAGCTCAAGACAAAACATTAAGTATTCCAACAAAACAAAGAGTAACAATTGATGGCTCTTGGCAAAAGCGAGGCTTTACATCACTAAATGGCGTTGTAACTGATGTCATCAACAACAAAATTATAGATACTAAAGCTTTTTCTAAGCATTGTAAAGGTTGTTCAATGTGGAAAAAACATAGAGGATCACCAGCCTACAACAGATGGAAAGCAGATCACATATGTCACATTAACCATACAAAGTCATCTGGTGCAATGGAGGCGGCTGGCGCATTGGAAATCTTTTCTCGATCAGTTAAAAAGTACAATTTGATTTATCATGAATACCTAGGGGATGGTGATACTTCATGTTTTAAAGAAGTTAAAGAATCTAATCCATATAAAAATTATAATATTCAACCAATAAAATTGGAGTGCATTGGGCATGTGCAGAAGCGACTTGGTACACGCTTGCGAAATATCGTACAGAAGTATAAAAGAACAGAGAAACCCCTACATGGAAAAGGAAATTTGACTAATAGTGCAATTAACTCAATGCAGAATTATTATGGTATTGCAATTAGAAACAACACTGACAACATTTATGCAATGAAAAAAGCAGTAGGAGCAGTTTTGTGGCATAGCACAAATTTCAGTGATAATAACATTCGTCATTCTATGTGTCCTAGGGATGAATATTCCTGGTGCAAGTGGCAACTAGACAAACTTAAAGGTACAAATACACACACTAACAAAATTAACTTACCTATCTTTATTCATAATATAATAAAACCTATTTTTAAAGATTTATCTGATGACGATTTGCTAAGAAAATGTTTACATGGCAAACGCAAAATTCAAATGAAGCATTTCATTCAATTTTATGGACTCGTTGTCCTAAAAACATTTTTGTAAATAGAAGAACATTTGAACTTTGTATAAACTCTGCAATAGTTCATTATAATGATGGTGGAGATGGGGTAAAATCTGTTTTAAGTTACTTCGGATTGTTAGGATCAGTGACTATTCCAAAACTGGTTTTAAAGGACCAAAAACGAATTGTAAACAACCGTCGTAAATCAACTTCAATATGCAAAAAGCAAAGAAAAAAACTTAGATCTCTTTATAAGGGATACTTAGATACTGAAAAAACAGATTCATATAGCTCTGGTAGCTTTTAAGAAGTGTTTATAGACATAAATTTTGATTTTTAGTTTTTGATTTGATTTTTCTCATTTTAAGATTTTTAGTTTTTTTTAAAATTTTAAAACATGATATCTCCAGTTTAAATTAAGCAGTTAAGCTGAAATTTTTAGGATATGTTCTTCATACATGTAGAATTCATTTGTCATAAGATTTTTAAATTTTCTTTTTTTGGGGCGCTACAATGTGGTTTTATCTGTCAAAGTTTTTTCATAAAAATATATATTCAAGTTTAAAAGTCAATATAATCTGAACCAGAAAGGCAGATTAAAAAATCCTATCACAAATGAATTTTATACATATATAGAACTACCATACCAAATTTGGAGTTTTGATCTATTGTCACTTTTGAGAAATAGTGTTTTGAAGTTTTCGTTTTTTTCACACTTTTTAATAAATTTTTGAGGCAAGCGAGGCACTTTTTTATATATTTTTTTGATTTTATGTTTAGTCTCATAATTATTGGTAATAAATGCTTAGTTTTATTGTAAATTTTATTTTGATGCTTAAAAAAAGTTTTTCATGGGCCTACCACCTTAATTATTTCTAATGCCTGTGTTACTTAATAAGGAGAAATTTTTTAAATATTATGGAGATGCACAACTCAGCTATAAAAAACATGTCAGAAACATGGGGATTGCCTAAAACGCCGAATTCTAAAACGCCGAAAAGCCGAAATGCCGAAAAAAATGGCGTAATAATAGAATTCGGTAACCGTCAAAAAAGACAACGAAAAGTTAAATATCCCCCGGATTTTTTATTGCGCATTTGTAAATGCAAAGTTTAAAAGGACAAAAGCCAAAGCCAAATTTGGCTTTTGGTTCTTTTTTTTTAAACAAAATTTACTGCTGCATTTTATTTTTTAATTTTACATGTTTTGAATTTTTTTAAATTTAAAACAATAATTTAAACATTAATAACGCGGGGGTTGACTACCGGTAATTCATTGCTCTCATTCCGTTTTTTATTCTGTGACTCTAAGATGGTTTTTCGGCTTTTCGGCGTTTTAGAATTCGGCGTTTTAGAAACTCCCAGAAACATGCGACCCGTTTAATTTATTTTGCGGTTCGTTTCTCACATTCCTCAAAATTTTTAATCAATTGAAAGTTCTCAGTGTATATAAACTAAACGTATGTAAAAGTTTATCTTTTATTTATAGGTGGAACTATGATTTACCTCCTTTAATTTTTAAAGACCTTTTTATTTTGAATAAAGCAAGTTTTTAACATGAGGAATAATAACTATTTAAACGAACCATTCTGTCGAACAAAATTCAATCAATTTTGTATCACTTATCCGCAGCTCATCTCTGGAACAAAATTATTATGCCTAACTTCGACTTAACTCTATCTTATCCTGTTTTTAAAAATAAATTAAAAGATTTCATTCTCTCTATTGAAAAAAATCTTAGAATATTTTTAATTTAATTTATATAAAAAATAATTTTTATTGCCATGTATGTTCAAGTTTTGTTTAATACTTGTTTACAATTTATTTTCATTTATATAAGTGCGATTTATTGTTTTTATGTTATTTTTTACGTATTCTAATTGTGATACTCTAATTGTAATACAAGTACGAAAAAGAAAATATAAATAACCAAAATCGAAAATGATTTAGAGCAAACAAATAAAAAAGTTGTCTCCTTAGAAAATGATTTACTTGAAATAAAAAAATTTATTCAAACCAA